CACAAGAGTACAAGGTTTTGTTTTTAATTTTTCTGTTTTTTAGGTGTTTTTTGGCCATTAGCTTTGCACAAGCATACTGCATCAACACAGGCATGCAGTTTGACTGTGCATAGCCAAATGACAGTTTTTTTTTTGTTTTTTTTTTTGTTTTTACCACATGCAACAGGGACAAACAACACTAAGACTCACCACCCCACACTCAGGATGGAACAATGTCCCTAATGTTCAACTCCTAATCTAAACATGCATGAGTTTGACACAACTAAAAATAAAAATAAAGAAAAGAAAACTTACCTTGGGTTGCCTCCCAAGAAGCGCTTGTTTAACGTCCTCAGCCTGACGTTCATGGAGCTTTCAACCAACGGGTATGGAAAGGTATCCAGAATACCCTCCCGAGCAATGATAGAACGCATAGCCTCCATCCAACATATGAGTCACCTCTGCAGGGCCAGGTGTGCGAAAATTTGGTATGACCTTCTTATCTTGCATGTTGTACCCTTTAGTGAGGCGTAGGTGGTACTGCAGCGCCTCAAGCAAGTAATCTTACTGTTTAAATGTCGGTGAAGAAGAAATAATAACAGGAAGATTGAAATCCTTACCCAAATATCTATACTTGAGGTGACCTGGCAAGGATTTCTGCCCTTGCTTTGATTTCAAAATCTGAGCAGATAGGATAGGTGATAGTTCTTCGGATGATCCACTATCACAGGAAGATGAATTTTTCCTTTCTCGAGCTCCACTTTCAAATTCATCAAATGCATCGTGATTATGATCAACTTGAAAGACATTAAAAGTTTCCTCCTCCTTACCTACTCTGAATGCCAGTTTGCCTCTCCCAGCATCGATGAGTGCATCACCGGTTGCTAGAAAAGGTCTGCCAAGAATGAGAGGCACTCCCCGATCTTCTTCCATCTCCAGAATTACAAAATCAGTTGGGAGAATAAACTTCCCCATCTTCACCAATACATTCTCCACCACTCCCTTTGGAATTTTCACTGATCGATCAGCCAATTGGAGAGTGATCCGAGTAGGCTTAAGAACATCTCCCAATCCCAATTTCTTGTAGAATGAGTATGGCATTAAATTTATTCCTGCTCCAAGATCACAAAGTGATTTATCGAACTCTCTACCTCCAACGACACATGGAATGGTGAAGCTTCCTGGATCATCCCTCTTTTCTGGTAATTTATTCTGAATCACAGCACTACATTCAGAAGTAAGGGTTACCTTCTCTAGATCAGCCCATTTGCGCTTCTTTGTTAGCAACTCCCTTAAGAATTTAGCATATGTAGGCATATGTTCAAGTGCCTCTGCCAGTGGTATGTTGATCTGAAGTTGCTTGAAGAGATTCACAAATTTCTTGAAGTTTGGGTCTTCCATAGGTTTCATTAGCCTTTGAGGGAATGGTGCGGGAGGTTCATAAGGCTTTACCTCTTCATTCTTGAGTTTTTCCACTTTTGGAGTTGCACAGGCAGAATGCTCATGCACAGGCAGATTGCATGCAGTTTGCCTGTGCAAGTAAGATTTTTCAGCTTTTGCACTTTCTTCCTCTGCAGCTCCTTTGCCCTCCTTTTCTACTGGATTTTTCTTGCTCTTTGGATCCTCCAACTCCTTCTCACTCCTAAATGTGACTGCTACAACCATGGCATCCTTTGGATTCCTCTCGGTATTAGCCGGTAATGTCCCAGGAATTCTGCCTTGCATATCCGCCAAAGTTTGAGCCATCTGTCCCATCTGCCTCTCCATAGCTAGCATAGGCGATTTTAAATTATTGTTGATGGCTAGCTGTTGAGTGACAAATTGATCCAGGCCCTTGATATTATTGTCTGTTTTCTGCATATGAGCCAAAATCAACTCCTCCAGCTGAGGCTTCTTCTCTGGTTGAGGCTGCTGCTGTTGAAAACCAGGAGGTGGGATGTTTCGAACACCAGCTGGATTATTGTTTGACCATGACATATTGGGGTGATGTCTCCATTGAGGGTTATATGTATTTGAATACATACCACCCTGGCCTTGACTTCGCGAATTATTAATATATTGGACATCTTCCAACTGAGCAGCTCCCAGTGGACACATATCCCTGTGATGAGCACACTCGCAAAGTTCACATGAAACAACCTCCTCTTGTCTACCTAGAGCAATCTTGGCCAGCCTTCGTTCGAGTGCATCGAACTTAGAATCCAGCTTGGCATCTATCTTGGCTTCTAGACTCGCAACTCTGTTTATCTCATGCAAGCCTCCTCTTCTTCGAATACTGGTCTCACTACCCCATTCAGTGGCTTCTGAACAGATCTTCTCTACCATATCATATGCTGTTGGTGCCTCCATGCTTGTGAAACCATTTCGAGAAGCATTATTTAGGGCATCCCGAAACTCCCTTCTGATTCCATTAAAGAAAATAATAATCGCGTTCCAATCTTCTAGACCGTGGCTTGGGCATCTTATCAAAAGCCCCTTGTAGCGCTCCCATGCCTCAGTCAGATTCTCATCATCAGCCTGTTTAAAAGTAACAATCTCTTCTTGCCTCTTCATTGCCAAGGCAGGTGGGAAGTATTTATCCAGAAAGACCTTCTTAAGCTGAGCCCATGTCGTGATGGAACGTGGTGTTAAGTTATGAAACCAGTGTGATGCATTCTCTATCAAAGAGAATGAGAACATACGTAGGCGAATTGCATCATCAGACACTGTAGGGCTCTTTATCGTATCACATATGCTCGCAAACCGGCGGAGATGTTCGTGAGAATCCTCATTGCTAGCCCCAGAGAAAGTATATCCATTGGTGATCATGTTGATAAATGTTGGGGTAATTTCCATGGCTGCATCCCTAGCCGGAATGACAACACATGAAGCTCGGGCTCCAGTCCTTCGATTCAAACGTGCCCTGATTGATCGATCCTCGTCTGCCATGATGTCTGGCTCAATGTCACGAGGTGGTGGTGTAGGGACGACAGGTGATGAAGCATGCCCTCTCTGTTGACGATTCTTGGTTAGGGAAGGCCTAGGAGTTGTGGTTGGCTGCTTCCCTAACTTGACCTGCTTCCTGTTCTGTTGACGGGTCTTCTCGATCTCAGGGTCTAGTGGCAGTAAATCGCCGGTCGTCCTCCTAGGCATGCACAAGGAGGATAAACCTGAAATTCACCTGCACACTAGAACACAGATCAAAATAGTTCACTCAGAAAAATCAACAAAAATAAGGTATGGCAGTTCCCAGCAACGGCGCCAAAAACTTGATAGAGCAAAAGCGTAATGCTTCAATTCCTATCTTGTAGTAAAACCGGAAATCTCAGGGACTGGTACAACCTTAAGTTCTATCAATTTTATGAGCAAACTATAAGTGAAATAGTTGAATGAGACTAATTTCTAAAAGCAAAATAAACTAAACAAATTAACTAAATGAAAACTGTCAGGAGAAATTCAATGGAGAAAGCTCTGGGAGAAACACCGGGATTCACTACCTATCCTATCCAGATTAATTCACATATTCCAATCAATTTAATCCATATCTCTACAGCCGGGATACCACTACTGTGCTAGCTATCCCTGTCGGGAATTACTACGTACACTGCAAGTAATTCAAATCCTACTGTCGTAGCTCAATGAGTTAATTATTTAGTCTGAAGACCGATATTCTATTTAAGGCCGCATAGCACCTTATTTAATCCACTGTCGCTTCGATAAGTTACTATGTCACATGAAATAGGTTCAGTTAATAGGATTTCACTGTCGCTAATAACCTAATTAACTACAAATCGTTGTATTGGTGGCCAGTCAACACAAAGCATTAAGTAATTTCATGCAATAGATATTGGACGAAAAGAATTATGAATCAATCCATCAAATATAGAAATAGCTACATCCTATGGTGTTTCCCCCAGAAATTGGGGTTTAGTTCATGACGAAAATAAAACACACGGTTATGTTCATAATAATCATCGTATTAATCGAGGAAAGAAAATACTGATTTTGAATTATGCCCGGCGATCAGCTCGTGCCCAGCTCCTCTCGTCGCTGCGATGTTGCTCGCTCTCTCTCTCTATGATTGCCTCCTCCCCCTGCTGCTTTCTTTCCCCCAGAAAATTCGCTGCACCCTATTGCTTTCCTTCGCCAAAAGAGATTTTCGTCCTCAAAAATAATTCCTCCCCAAGAGAGTTCTCGCCTCCAATTAATCCCCAAAGAAATCCCTCCTCTGCCAAAAAAGAGTTCCTCCCCCAGAGATTTCCTTTCCTCTTTCAAGAGATTCCATCCAAATTAAAAGTCTCCCCCCAAATATGTCCAAGTTAATGATGGCCGGTCCAACTAAATGGACCATGTCCACTTAATTCCTCTTCCTGGCCCAATTGCGTCTCCTCCCCGAGACAAAGCGATTTGGGCCCAATTAATTGCTTGTGCACTCGCTTCTTTTTCGTGCTTTCTCCACCTGTAACATATCAAACTCATGGCACTAGGCATTAATGGTTTTCAACCATTCTCGGGTTAGCATGCCCTAAAATAGCACCAATTGGCTTAAATATATCATGAGATAGTCACATAAAGTTCAAGAATCAGATATATTAAAGCCAATTATCAGTAGACATCATGTCCGTTCCTCCCGCTAAGAACATGCCCGCCGACTGGTAGAGGCATATGCGCAGCACGTTTGAACCATTGGCGGGTCTTTTTTGTTTTCTGCCTTGTCGATGGTCGAGTCATGTTTTGCACATGCTTGGGTCCGGTTTTTGTGATTTTTTAGATGGATTTTTGTGAATTGTCAGACAAATTTTGATGTAATTCACTTCAAATGTATTATATGTTCATTAAAATTTGTTTTTTGTTGTGCTTGTAGGAGGGAGGACAAATTGTAGAAGCCTCTTTCGCTATCATCATCAAATAACAAGTTTATTATGAGTGATTCGGTAAATACCTTATTTCTTTGTTGTTTAATAGTTAAATTATTGCAACATAATTGTTTCAAGACTAACGTAAATATTTATAACATGTATTTTTTATAGGGAGGTTTTGGAAATGATAAGGGCGACAATGTTTATTACACATCATTTTTCATAAACAATGTTGTTTATGATACCCATGATGATGCTTGTGCGGCTGCAAAGGAGATTGCCATGAGAAATAGGTTTTTCTTGATTGTGGGATCAGTCAAGCAAAATCACCTATCAAAAGTCTATCCGCGGTACTATATGGATTGCAACCATGGCTATAGGAACAAATCATATACTCCTCATTTGGCAAAAACAACACGGAGCAAATCTAAAATAGGTAAGTCTGATTGTCGTTTCCGAGTGGTAGTGCGTTGTTCATTGGTAGATGGCAAGTGTGAGTGGAGAATTTTTGGTGTTAAGGACAAAGATAATCCGGGTAAGTCGAGAGGATTTCACAATCACAAATTGGAGGTTTATTCTGAAGGAAGTAGGTAAAGGAATTCTCTTTCGAAAGAGAGAAGAATAGATATTAAGGAGTTGGAGGCAACACATACTCAGACAAGAGATATTATGAGTTTTATGAATAGGAAGTACGATGCTCATCACCATATGAAGCAGATTTATAACGAGACAGAAAAGATTAGGCGTGAGAGATTGGGTGGCATGAAACCTATGCGGTGGACATTGATAGAAGCTCAACGTCTCGATTACTTTGTTGAGTGCGAGTTTGATGATGAGCGTCGTATTTCTAGACTCTTCCTTTGCCATCCAGAGTCTATGCGGATGTTGAGCGCATGGTATTTCGTCATTTTGATAGACTCAACTTACAAGACCAACAAGTATAAGCAGCCACTAGTTCAGTTGATTGGTGTTAGTCCGGTGAAGAAGAACTTCAATATTGGGTTTGCATTGGTATCGGATGAGACGAAGGAGACATATGCTTGGGTTTTGATACAATTGAAGCATCTGCTTGGTGATCGAACACCAGATGCGTTTGTTACCGATAAGGAGGGAGGTTTGGGTGTCTCATTGCGAAAAATCTTTCCATCTTCAGCTCATTTACTGTGTGTGTGGCACATGAAGAGGAAAATACTCATAGATCCAAGCCTGTAACCCAGTCAAGCACCCATAAAATCCTTTAGATCCTGCTCGACTAGATCTCCCAAGCTGCCTATACATCCAGGCAAGCGCACCAGCACCCCATACATACTTACTAACCATCTTCAAATCTCTGAAGTAAGAGTACAACCATCCACGAACACGATCAGAACTCTTGTCCACAAAAAGCGTGGACCCTATCAAACCCAAAGTCCACAAACGATGGCTTATGTGACCACCAAAACTAGGGATCAAACTGTGGTCACTACTCACTCGGACCCCCGGGACCTGCTCCTGTAAGCAGCCATGTCTGATCCACCAACTTCTTATGTGAAGGGACGCTTCCACTAGATGACGAAGCAAAATGCCCATCCTTACCACGTAGCGGCCCAACCCGAGTACTAACATGGGTCGAGCCAGTAGACACGTGATCGCTCGAACCCACAAGATGGCTCTGGTAAAAAGCATAAGGAAACGACAACAAATCACCCTCCTCATCACCCTCATCACACTCATCATCACTGCTCGTGGCATCCACCACCAAGTCATCATATGTGTTGATGACTCGCAACTGCCGAGAATCATGGCTAGAGGGGGCAGGATCAACTACAGCTTGACGAGCAAGCTTCTCCTGACGCTCTAGCTCAAGAGCTCTATCCTTCTCCTCCTGACGTTTTCTCCGCTCAGATCCAGTAACATTGCGTCCGACAACCCTCGACTTTCCCTTTCTTTCGTTCATTTTTACCAACTATCCAGAAAATAATTTTTTTCATAATTATTATTAATCATCCTAAACTTTTTAACTATTCCTTATAATCATTAACAATCATAAACTTTATCAATTGAATACTACTTATATTGTCAAAATAACAAAACATCATGCTAATTATAATTAACAATTCAAATCAAGTCGATCAAAATTCACATTCTAATGTATGTCGCATAAATAATCATTCACAATTATTATTAACTAAAATAAACAATTCATAAACCTATGCATTTAAATTAATAATTAAAAAATTGGACAGAACAGAACCGCACCGGTTAGAAAACCAGACCGGGTCGGGCGTGTAGGATACCCGACTGAACCGGGACGGGGAGGGTTGGCGACCCAGCCACCGCCCGATGCAGGCGGATACCCTACCCGCCTCATCCTAGATCCGGGCCTGGGAATAAGCTGCTCTTGACGGCGACGGGCGGGTGGAAAACCTGCTGCCGGCGGGCAAAAGACAGGTCGGGTTTTCCACCCGCCCCATTTACATTCACGAAAATAAAAAAAGGTGGAAAGAACGGCAGAAAGGGCGACTCACCTTCTCCCGTCGACGACGACAATGGTGAGCAGAGGAAGGCGTGGATCTTCGGACTTCGGCGGCGTGGATCGTCGGAGATTCTGGGCGGTCGGCGGAGTTGCTGAAGAGAGTGAACGGCGGTGGCGTTGCTGGGAGATCGAAGGGCAACGGCTGGAAAGTCTTCTTTTGAAATGGAATGAAGGGGGGAGGAGGCGGCCTGCTGCCTGCTGCCTAGATGGGAGTGGGGCGAGTAAAAATATGTGGTAAGTTTAGGTTAAGGTTTACTTTTTTTAGTTTGGGGTAAAATTGTGCATTCAATAAATTTAGGGCGATTTATTTGAAAACTTAGGGCGACGAATAGAAGTTCAGTTTGGTAATTGGTACATAGTACATACAAATTACAATTCATTGTTGTAGTTTTTAAATAATTAAATATGTTTTAATCTTAAAAATCAATTGTATATATTCTACAGTAAAAGTTTGTAACATTCACGTACATAGATTTACAAATCTATAGTTAAAACTTACAAATTTTTTGTTAACAATTTACAAATAATAATGATGTGTTATGTACGCTAAAAATTTAGATGGGATCATAAATCGTGGAAATTATCAAAATGTAGTAAAAAAAACAATACAAATAAAGTGGTAGATTATGTATTTGTATAGATATTGTGATGAAGAGTAAAAAATACGCGGCACTGCATCTACGGCGCAAAACGTGACCATATCATTCCTATTAATTATGACATAAGGTTAACAATTTGATTTAAATGAAGTTTTAATTCTATGATGCACTTAATCACTTGATCTTGACCCCTTGCTTATGTCACGATGAAATTGGGTTGAAGATCTTTTCTTCTTGAAATTGAAGCATTTGATTGAAATAAGAATGTTTCAAACCCTTTGAACAAATTGTGCTTTCGATCGAACCGAATTTCGAGGAAGAGTTTTTTGTGGTTTGATCCTTCAATTCAGATCGAAGAAACTGAAGAAGAAAGGACACGTTACTTGTAATCTCTTTATCACTGATTTATACAACGCATTTGTATCTTATTTCGTTTCCATGCCATTGGGTTGTGTTGTTTAGACAGTCTTGACCTTTGGTTTTCTTTTTTCTCTACCTTGCCAAATCGAACCTTTTGGATTCGTTCAATTTGCAGTAACAAAGAACATGGAGTGAGGAGAAACCCTAAAAGCCTGTCTTTCTCATTAGAAACTCTGCCTCTTATAGGCAGTCCAAACTCATTACAGGACAAGCTCCATGGATGGTTTGTTTGGAAGCTTGGAACGGAAACATTACATAGCTTGGATAAAAAGAAAGTACAATCGAAAGAAGAAGGGAACGACATCGTTCCAACAAGTGATGATCGTCTCCTCAGAACGACATCGTTCCATCAAGTGAACTTGCCTCATGAAACGATGCTGCAAGAGGAAACTGATTGCTAGGATAAAACATCGTCGCTGCGGAAGGTGACCGTTGCAATTGAATTGAATTTCAATCTGTTACCCCCCCCCCCACAAGCTGGTGGGCATATGTTTCGCACACCAAGCTTGGACAGTAAGGAGAGGAATGGAGATGGAGATAGCGGTTTGGTAAAGATGTCTGCCAACTGGTGAACAGCAGAGATGTGGAGTAGCTTTAGAGTTCCAGATTGCAGCTTTTCACGAACGAAATGACAGTCCCCTTCTATGTGTTTTGTTCGTTCGTGAAAAGAGGGATTTTTGACGATGTAAACTGCACTTTATTGTCGCAGTACAGAGCAGCTGGGGATGAAGAGGAAGCTTGAAAGTCTTTGAGCAGGTATTCTAGCCACCGAATCTCACAAGCTGTGTATGCCAATGCTCTATACTCTGCCTCGCAAGATGATCTTGAGACTGTGTGTTGCTTCTTGGTTTTCCAGGAAATTAGTGAATCTCCAATGTAAATGCAGAATCCTGTGGTTGATCGACGTGTATCCACACAAGCTGCCCAATCTAAATCAGTGAAGGCTTTGATTTGGAAAGTACCCTTTGAGGGAAAGAAGAGGCCAGTGGCAGGAGCTGATTTGAGGTAACGTAGGACACGCAGGACAACTTTGAAATGTGTATTGGATGGTGATGACATGAACTGACTTAGTTGCTGAGTGGCAAAACTAATGTCAGGTCTTGTAGTAGTGAGGTAGATTAGCTTGCCAACGAGTGTCCTGTAAAGTTCTGGGTCTTCAAAAGCACTGTCTGAATCATTGCTTAGATGAAGTTTGTAGTCCATTGGTGTTGATACAGTTTTTGAATCAAGAACCTGTGCTTCTTCAAGAATTTCCAGAGCATACTTTCTTTGTGACAAATGAATGCCTGATGTGCTGCGAGCCACTTCAATTCCCAAAAAATACCTCAGATTGCCAAGGTCCTTAATACTCACTGTGAAGAATCTTTTTCAGTTCTTCGATTTCTGTAATATCATTGCCCCCCAAAACCAAATCATCCACATAAATGAGAATGCATGTGTAGCTTGTTTCAGTGACCTTGAAGAAGAGAGAATTATCTGCTTGACTTTGAATGTATCCAACCTGTTGTAATTTGCCAATAAGCTTGGAGAACCACTATCATGATGCCTGTTTTAAACCATAAATAGACTTTCTTAACCTGCAAACTGGATTTGGCACATCAGAAGGAGGCACATAGCCTTTTGGCAGTGTCATGTACACTTCTTCTTCAAGGTCACCATGAAGGAAGGTATTGTTTACATCTAACTGTTGTATGTGCCAGTACCTCATGGCTGCAATGGCTAGAAAGGTCTTGACTGTTGTCATTTTTATGACAAGAGCAAATGTATCTTGGTAGTCCACACCTTCCTGTTGAGTATTTCCTTTTGCCACTAATCTGGCTTTATGTCTCTCAAGTGAACCATCAGAAAGAAACTTATCCTTGTAGATCCATTTGTTGCCTATTGGTTTCTTACCCTTAGGCAAACTGACAACTTCCCATGTATGATTTCTGAGTAATGCTTTGATCTCTAACTGCATTGCATCATGTTGAGCAGCCTCATTGTATGTTTGAGGTTCTCTGTGACTTGAAATGTTTAGGAGAAAACGTTTGTGATTGGAGGAAAGCTTGTCATAAGAGATCATGTTGGAGAAGGAATACCTGGTATCTTGGACCTGTTGCAGTGTTGAGTGATTGATGTTGCTAGGGCCTTGAGGTAGGTAACAATGATAGTTTTGAATGAAGTGAGGAGGTGGTTTAGAAGTCCTGTCTGAACGTCTGACAACAGGAGGTGGGGATGTGGGATTGGTTACAGTATGAGAAGGATCAGAAGGCCCTGGTGAATCAGTATTTGTTGATGGATCAGGGGAAGAAGAAGTAGAAGAACCTGATGTAGTTGCTGGTTCAGATAGAGGAAGAGTAGGTTGTAGAGGTAAGGGGTTAGTAGGGAAGGAGGTAGAGAATCATCATGAACAAGATGAGATTCAGTGGAAGGAATGGGAAAGAATGTATCTGGTTGATTTGAAGATTGGTCTTGCTGCTGATCAGGCTGGTAAGGGAAGTGGGACTCAAAGAAAATGACATCCCTAGATATGAATACTTCATGAGATGAGAGATCATACAACCTGTAGCCTTTAATGCCAGAAGGAAAACCTAGGAAAACAGCCTTTCTTGCTCTAGGTTGAAATTTGGTTATGTGATTACTGGGAGTACTGGCATATGCTAAACAACCAAAGACTCTCAGTTCATTGAGGTCAGGTGGTGATTTATATAGCATTTCAAAAGGAGTTTGGTTTGCTAGAACTGGAGAAGGAACTCTATTGATGAGGTGAATTGAATGCTTGACACAGTCACCCCAAAAGGTAGAAGGTAAGTTGGCTTGAAACTGAAGTGCTCTAGCTATAGCAAGGATATGCTGATGTTTCCTCTCTACTTTACTGTTTTGTTGAGGAGTTTCTACACATGACATTTCATGCAGGATACCAGTGGAAGAAAAAAATCATCCATCTGGAACTCCCTGCCTTGATCACTCCTGATTCTTTTAATTTTTATTTCAAACTGCCTCTCCATTTGGTTGCAGAAGGCAATCAATTTTGGTCTTGCTTCAGATTTAAGTTG